ATATCTCATAATAGAAGTCCAGTTATTAAAAAACGCCGATCGGTTGGAAATGAAGTAAATATCCAACCGTCAACTAGTGGGCAGCAGCATAGTGATGATCCAGGTCCATCAATGAGTGGCCATCAATCCGTAGATGACCTAGGTAAGAAAAGTCATTCTGATGATTCTATCAACTTTTAACTGCAACCTCCTAATTGCACTTATTAATTATTATTTCTTCTTCTTTCCTTCAGATATGGTACCATCGGTTCCATCATTGGAGTCAGTTTCATCAGCAGATGATCTGCAACGCCCATACAATGTTGAGAAGTTTAATGGCTTTGTGGAATCGTTGAATTTATCTCCAATTTCATCGAGGAACATGAGGAGCATGGATTATCGTTCAATAAAATCTCTAGAAATTACACAAGCAGTGCAAAAAAATATATTTGGCCTAGATACAGCCGACATTAGCAAAGTAGAGGCATACGAAGAAATGATGGTGCAGCTAAAGGAGAAGTTCAATTCTCCTACAGCTGACAGAAAAGATCAGATAACAGTATTATCAGTATGTATTGCCAAAGTCTTGGTCCGTGAATAAAGTTGTAGCAGAATTCAACGCACCAACGTACATGGTGAGGTAGATGGAGAGCCTTGTTAATGAGCAGGGTATTCTAAGCAGTGGCTGAATACTGATCGTTGTAATTTGGAAACGATTATCAAGCCTGTTGATGAATTTGTTCCGTATCTCATTGATAAAATTAACAAACTTATAACTCATGACTTTATTTACAAACAACAGTCATCTTTTCTAAGAAATAAAAAAGAATCATTAAAAGAAGGCGAAATTCTAGCAATTTGTGATTTTTCTGAAAATTATTCATTCATTATCCAAAACGCTGCTCAAGGATATCACTGGAATAATTCTTAAGCAACAATACATCCATTTGAAGTTTATTATAAGAAAGACAATAAACTTGAAAATGTTAGCTTCATTATCATATCAGAAGTAATGACTCACGATACAGTTGCAGTTCAGTTGTTCATCTCAAAAATGATAGATTTTATTAAACAATCGATAGATTTTTCTAAAATTAATTTTATGTCAGATGGGTCAGCATCACAATACAAAAATAAAAAAAAAAACTTTGCTAGTCTGTGTAGATTTCAGTCAAAGCATGGATTAGAAGCAGAATGGCATTTTTTTTTGCAACGTCTCATGGAAAAGGTCCCTGTGATGCCATAGGTGGCACTCTCAAGCGAATGGCAAAGAGAGCTAGTCTTGCTCGAGATTATGGAAACACCATAACAACTCCACGAGAATTATATAACTGGGGAGTTGAACAAACAGATAAGAATATCACAAAACTACGTTTCGAGTACATATCCACTGAACAGTACATCGAAATGTCAGAAGAACTCGAAGAACTTTATAACAGCACAAAGACAATATCTGGCACACAGAAATTCCACAGTTTTGTGCCTATAACTGGTGACAAAGTAGCGGCAAAAAGGTATTCTTTTTCAGAAGATGAACCAAAAATATTTAACTTGATTGGAAAAAGGAAAAAATAGCATGTATGAAAATAGGTTTAAAACATTGAAAATATATAAATTAATGATATATGAAAAATATTGTCTTCTTTCTCTCACATATTATCAAATTTTGCATCAGTAGTAGACAACAGAATAAGGGAATGATATTTTTTGACAAGGTCTACATGTCCAAATAGTTTTATTGAACTCTGAGAGGGTGCTGCCAATTCCAAATACAATTTGGCGAAAAATGCATCATGAGCCCTTTTCATATGAAATTCTCGATTAATCAAAGTGATTTTAAGTGCTGATTAGACAAAATTGAATCGCAAATTGAGCTTCATTGGATTCTGAGATGATTTTGAGCTTCACTGGTTTAGTTTTGTGTGAAAATGGCAAATCAAAAAAAAAATCAGTTCAGACATGAAAAAGTTTTTGTAAGAAAAACTTTTTTTTTCCTTAAAAGTACCCATCATGCAATGTATGGACGGTTGGTAGTAAACATAATTACCTATATTGAAGCAAAGTTTCATCCAAATCAAACATGGCCATTTTTTTTAAATCGACTTTAAATTTTAAAAATCGATTTTTTTCAGTGTAGGTCACAAATGAAATTTTGTCCAGTATTTTTTTCGATAACTTGGACAATTTCCTAAAAGTCATCCATACAACACATTTTTGTAGGAGTTGTCATTTTTCCACAATATTTTTTGAAAAAAATCGGCAGAAAAAGTTTGGCCCTTCTCAAATGTTAGTCTAGATAAATTTTGGAAAAACTAAGTATGCAAAGTGGCATATTTAGTCAAGGTCCACACATCCAGAAAGTTTCATTGAAATCTGAGAGGGTGCTGCCAGCTCCGAATACGATTTGGCGCGAAATGCGTCTAATGAAACAGCTGGTGCCATCGTTCAAGCTGCCTTCAACCAAATATTTCAAGCAACAGTTGAACTGGAAATATGACGTCATTTCCCATCTTTTTAAATCGAAACTGAAATCTGTACCTCATTTTTGCTTGACGTTGGACATCTGGACTGAAACGATGTCCGAAAAAGGATACCTCGGCATTACAGCTCATTTTTTGGAAGGAGTCGAATTCAAATCACTCAACATAACTGTAAAACACATAGCCACGAGTCACACTGCAGAAAACATTAAGGCAGCAGTCCTTGAAGCGATATCAGAATGGGAAATTAATAACGAAAAGGTGGTGAGTGTGGTGACGGATAACGCTAGTAACGTAGTGGCTGCCATGCGTAAATCGTTCGATAATCGTCGCCTATCGTGTATTGCACACGCTTTGAACCTCGTGACCGAAGCTGCATTGTCGCTTGATTCAATCAAAGGACTGATTACTACGATTCGAGAAGTTGTGAAATATTTTAAAAACAGCGTCAAAGCTTCCTGTTTACGAGTAGAATCATTCTCAACCCATCGAACTACAACCATGGCATCAGCTGTGAGCCCGCAATCGCAACAATAGGCTGCAGAAATATGTATATTTATCACCATTGTCCCACGCGCTCAGCAACAACAGCAGTTGACCAACAAAACCACCGAGAGGAGAAACTAAAGCAGGGTCTTGCTTCGGTGGTAATGACGTCACCCGTATGATACTGCAGTGGGAATAATAATGCGGAAGATAACGGTTGATAAGAGAGCGGGAGCAAACTCTCATTTGGACCCGAGAGAAGACATCGCATAGGTAGCGATCGTGGTCAGACGATGACCTTTTTTTATTATATACGGTAGAAACCTATCGACCACCGACCGTGTGTGGAGTCCGCGCGGGCAATTTTAATCTGTTTTTGTGTGTTAGAATTTAAGCCAATGTTTAGTTTTAAGGAATAAAAATCGTTGTTATTGTTAAAATAAATGTAGTGATGTAACTGTGGTTTCCGTAATTCGTCGCGTGTGTAATTTAAGTGAAGAAAAGGGCCTTGTATGCAACTATAGGATAGCTGCTACATTCTTTGCATCTCCATCCACCGGCGAGTGTTGGGGAGCTTTCCAACAACCCACATCGAAGGCAGAGGTGATTTGGTTCCCCAACATTTATGGTCCACCGAACCGGATTTGGAACGGACAGTATCAGTTGGGCTGATTCAGACCCGTACGGTAGCCTGAGGCAGGCTTGGATTGGCGCCATCGCGGACGGCGTTGAATAGGAAATCGCCATATCTCCCGTGAACAACAGTTTTACGGCCATCACACAGGAAGATAATTAACACCGCGCCATCACTACATTACGGCACAAAGGACATCCAAGGATAAGGGATCCATTCTTACCTCACTATTCAAGAGGACAGCGTGGCTTCGTTTTGGGCATCCATCGGTTGGATTGTTCCCACAGACTGCCCGGCTTTGAGGATTTGCATGCGTATGCCAGGAGTGTTGGACATCGGTAATCGATCTCGACGTATGGAATTACATAGGATCATTGGATCGTTCGTAGGTTTGGACAACTGATCCAGCACCGGATTTACTTCTCCAGGTAAATATATTTAGATCAATATATGTCCAGCCTTTGCAAGTGTTTACGCGATACTAACGCCCACATTTCGACGTATTTCTTTGCATCCATCCTATAATATCCACCGAGACGGAAAGACGCTGTTCGAAAACGAGTTGTTGGTTTGTCATCTCGACCTACATTCCTGGAACTGGAACTGGTAGAACCACGAAGACAGACGCCATCCTAATTCCATTTGATTGAGGAGCATCACGGCCATCTTCGAGGAGACGAGTTGGAGCGTGGCAAGAAGAGGCGGCATCGATTCATTTTCTCTGTGGTGAGTGACAAGAATGTATATGTCTCCGAAGCGGGACCTCAGATAATATACGCCTTTTAAATGAATTTCGAATCCTCTTCAAATCATTTACAACGCAATCCCTGAGCAAAAACCGTTCGTTATCAGAACAATTGACTCATTCTGCTGTGACTTTTGGACGCTTTTGGACGTTTTTTCTGGTCGTTTTTGGATTGGATTGGTGCCGTTACTGGTTCCACGGGTTAGTTTGAACAGTATATGTTCTGCCGAAGCTTTACTTTGGATACTACATGCATTCCTTCCTCTTCTTTGGATCCCAATCTGAACTGTTTTGCTGACAAGTTGAACGAGTGGACTTTCGCTTTGTAAATCGGACACAGCGAGCTGTTTGGAATCGAGTTAGCAGTTGCTGTTTGTTCTCATAGGTGAGCTACAACAGTATATGTCCGCCAAAGCCAGGTTTTGGATACTACAGTTGGTTCTTTCCTCCTCTTTCCTCATCAATCGAACGATTACGAGCTAAGCTGCAACAATCGGTGTGACGTCACTGTAATCAGCGACTCTACAATTTACTGGATTAGGTGTAGCAGGTCGCAGTATATCGTTCTGTTCTTTCAGGTAGGCTTCAACAGTGTATGCCAGCCGAAGCCTTTTACTATCGGATCTCTACACCACCCAATTCTTCTATTTACCGGTTTGAGTGACGCATATCAACAATGCCAACCCGCGACAAGAAGCCGCCAGCGTTCAAGCTGTTGATGGTCCAGCTTAAGAACATCCAGACATCTTTGGACGACATCTGGAGATTCGTGGACGGTTACCCGTCGACAACTACAGCAAGTCAGGTCAACGTTCGCTTGAATAGGATCGATGAGTTGTGGGAAAGGTATGGAGAGATTCTAATCGATGTTCAAGCTCATGATGTCTTTGAGGATGAGGATCAGGAGTTCAATAAGGCTAGGTTAGCGTATAGTGATAAGTACTACTATTGTAAGGCGTTCTTGATGGATAGGGCCTAGGAACTGCAGGATCCGGAGGAAGTTGAACAATCCATACGAGCAAATGAGTCGTTGACACACGGCCATGGTACCCTTGATCATGTGCGTTTGCCTCAAATTAAGCTACAAGTTTTCAACGGGGACATCGATGAGTGGATCAGCTTCCGTGATCTGTTCACTTCACTTATACATCGGAAGACGGACTTGCCCGAAGTGGAAAAGTTCCACTATCTCAAGGGATGCCTGCAGGGAGAACCAAAGGGCCTGATTGATTCTTTGAAGATTACGAAGAACAACTACCAAATTGCGTGGGATATGCTGTTGAAGCGTTATGACAACAGCAAGCAATTGAAAAAGCGACAGGTACAAGCTTTATTCAATTTGCCAACATTATCCAAGGAATCGGTAACGGATCTGCATACTCTGACTGATGGTTTCGAGAGAGTGGTGCAGAATTTGGACCAGGTGATCAAGCCTGAGGATTACAAGGACCTGTTGCTCGTAAATCTGCTCACAAACCGGCTGGATCCGGTAACGCGCCGAGGTTGGGAGGAACATTCCTCGACCAAGGATCAAGACACGTTAGAAGATCTCTCGGATTTCTTACATCGTAGGATCCGGATTCTGGAGTCATTACCAACGAAGGCTTCGGATTTCAAGACTTCTTATCAAGTACAACAACCGTTGAGACAGAAATCGTCTGTTGTGAAGGCCAGCTACGGTTCTGTGCAATCGTCTGGGGGACGATGTGCGGTATGCAAGGAGAACCATCCACTCTACCAGTGTTCATGCTTCCAACGGTTGTCGGTGCGAGAAAGAGATGCAGTGCTGAGGGCGAACTCCCTATGCAGGAACTGCTTCAGATCGGGCCATCTGGCAAAGGATTGTCCGTCAAAATACTTCTGTCGTAGTTGCAAGGGTCGTCATCATACATTGGTATGCTTCAAACCGCAGAAGGATGGGTTGGCGAAGGTCGCTGCTGTTGCTGGAAACAACAATCCTCCTCCTCAAATGGAATCTGGTGAACCATCCACTTCTACATCCTCCCAGGTGGTCAACATGGCAGCCACCGAAATAACAGTCTCTGGGTCCACTCAACAGTTCTCCTCCAAGGTTTTGCTGGCTACTGCGGTCGTTATCGTGGAAGATGATGAGGGTAGTCAGTTCCCGGTTCGTGCTCTATTGGATTCCGGCTCCGAGAGTAATTTCATCGCTGAACGGTGGAGTCAACGGCTCAGGACACATCGAGAGAAAGTAGATATTTCTGTGCACGGTATTGGTCATGCGGCTACAAAGGTTAAGTACCAGATTACCGCGATGGTTCGTTCGCGAGCTACGGCTTTCTCGCAGAACATGAATTTCCTCGTGCTCCCAAAGGTTACGGTAAATATACCTACGGCGAAGGTGAATACACAAGGCTGGACGGTGCCTAACGGGATCATCCTGGCGGATCCCACTTTTCTCAATCCAAGCTCAGTGGACATGGTGTTGGGCATCGAATCCTTTTTTGATTTCTTCGAAACTGGTCGAACAATTCCCCTCGGAGATCAATTGCCGACACTTAACGAATCAGTGTTCGGTTGGGTGGTCTGCGGAGGTCTGACAAATCCAAGTCAAGGCTTAAGCATCAATTGTAGTACGGCAACTACACAAGGATTAGAGGAGCTAGTCGCACGGTTTTGGGCTAGTGAAGAGATTGGCAGTTCCAAGGTTCTTTCGTTGGAGGAAAGTAAATGTGAGGACATTTTCCGGAAGTCGGTTCGCAGGGAATCCGACGGTCGATACTCCGTTTCGTTGCCGAAAGATGAAGACGCAATTTTCAGGTTGGGCGAGTCACGGGACATCGCATTCTGGCGGCTTCAAGGCACAGAACGTAGATTGGCGAGGGATGTTGGTCTGCGAGAACAGTACCATCAGTTCATGGAGGAATACATCCGATTAGGGCATATGACGAAGATAGAGGAAACGGCTGATCTCGAAAAACGATGCTATCTGCCACATCATCCGGTAATTAAGGAGGCCAGCACCACAACTAAGGTCCGTGTGGTATTCGACGCGTCATGCAAGACGTCGTCCGGCGTTTCGCTCAATGACGCTCTGCTGGTGGGACCGATTGTACAGGAGGACTTACGATCTATCATGCTCCGGAGCCGCGTCAAGATAATCATGCTGGTAGCCGATGTAGAGAAGATGTTCCGGCAAATCTTTGTTCTACAGGTGGATAGGCCACTCCAATGCATTCTATGGCGTTTCGATCCGTCGGAGCCCGTCTGCGTGTTCGAGCTCATCACCGTCACATATGGGACAAAATCAGCGCCATTTCTCGCAACCCGTACATTGAATCAGCTGGCAGTGGACGAGGAAACCAATTACCCGTTGGCTGCAAGGGCAACCACCGAGGATACCTATATGGATGACGTCATCACGGGAGCAGATACCATAGAAAAGGCACGGGAGCTTCGGAAACAGCTCGATGAAATGATGTCAACGGGAGGATTTCGGCTACGGAAATGGGCATCCAACCGTCCGGAGGTTTTGGAGGGAGTCCCAGAGGAAAATCTGGCGATCCCAAGCTCAGATGGGATAAACCTGGATCCAGGCCCAATAGTCAAAACGCTAGGTTTGACCTGGATACCGAACACCGACCAACTGAAGTTCCAGTTCGATATTCCACCTTGGTCATCAGAACAATATCCATCCAAACGACAAGTCCTTTCAGTGATTGCCACACTCTTTGATCCTTTAGGACTTCTCGGCGCTGCTATCACCACAGCCAAGGTCATAATGCAGCTTCTGTGGAAGATAAGGAACGAGCAAGATCAGACATTGGATTGGGACCAGCCATTACCTTCAACGGTGGGTGAGATGTGGAGAAAATACTACGACCAACTTCCTCTACTGAACGAGGTTCGAATCGATCGTTGTGTGGTCATTCCAGATGCAGAATTGATCGAGATTCATTGCTTTTCTGATGCTTCGAACAAGGCATTTGGTGCCTGTGTTTACGTACGGAGTCAAGATACAGAAGGCAGGATTAAGGTTCAGCTGTTATCCTCAAAATCCAAAGTGGCACCATTGAAGACGCAGTCCATACCAAGGTTGGAGCTGTGTGGTGCGCTTCTGTCGGCGCAGTTGTATGAAAAGGTTCGTGACGCAATCAGGATTCCCGCTCGGACGTTCTTCTAGGTCGATTCAATCTGTGTTCTGCGATGGATTCAAGCATCTCCAAACGTCTGGAGTACTTACGTCGGTAATAGAGTAGCAAAAATCCAGACTATCACCGAACCATCACAATGGCACCACGTTCCTGGCAAGGAGAATCCGGCGGATTTGATCTCCAGAGGAATTTCACCGAAGGACACCGTCGAAAATATCTTCTGGTGGGAGGGACCAGGTTGGTTGAAAGGGAATCCGGAGGAATGGCCTCATCCACCGAGTGAACTTTCTATGGAGGAAGTAGAGCAGGAAAGACGACGAACAACGATCGCTTGTGCAGTTACGGGGTATGCGGAGTTTAACGAATGGTTTTTGGGGAAGTATGAATCCTATACGAACCTCATTCGCCGAACTGCATACTGGCTGCGGCTAATGCGGCTACTGCAAAAAGAACCGAAAAACAGAGTTTCAACGGGCTTTGTGTCAACTAACGAGCTTAAGGAGGCAAAGTTCGTTCTACTTCGTCGCGTTCAGAAAGAAGTTTTCGCCGATGAATGGAAGGCACTTTCCAAGGGAGAAGCTATACCCAGGAAGTCTCCACTTAGATGGTTCAATCCGTATATTGCCGAGGATCAAGTCATCAGAGTTGGTGGACGGCTTGGGCACTCTGCTGAACGACATGATACGAAGCATCCGATAGTTCTTCCTGCACGGCATAAACTTACCCGGATGATCCTCGAGCATTATCATCTGCAACTTCTTCACGCTGGTGCTCAATTGCTACTTGGTGCTGTTCGCTTACGGTTCTGGCCACTAGGTGGAAGAAACGTCGCTAGGAACATCGTCCACCAATGTATGAAGTGTTTTCGTGCCAAACCTTCACCAGTTCAACAGTTCATGCAGGAGCTGCCAGCACCACGAGTCACCGTGTCAAGGCCATTCTTGCAGACCGGTGTGGATTATTTTGGACCATTGTACGTAAGACTTGCACCCCGACGACCGGTAGTCAAGGTTTACGTAGCAATTTTCGTGTGTCTCTGCACGAAGGCAGTTCATTTAGAGCTGGTGACTGACCTGAGCACTGATCGGTTCCTGCAAGCTTTACGTCGTTTCATCGGCAGACGAGGAAAATGTCAGGATATTTATTCCGACAATGGGACCAACTTCGTTGGAGCGAAAAGCAAGATGCAGGAGTTCTTAAAGCTGATTAGGAGTTCGGACCATTGCGAGAAGATTGTGAAGGAATGTGCTGAGGAAGGAATCCAATGGCATTTCAATCCACCCAGTGCTCCACATTTTGGAGGACTGTGGGAGGCGGCTGTTCGATCTGCCAAAAATCACCTTCTCAAGGTCGTTGGAGAAACTACGGCATCGGCAGAGGATCTCAATACGCTGCTTGTCCAAGTTGAAGCATGCCTCAACTCGAGACCACTCACAGCAATGTCCGATGATCCCAATGACTTGGAACCTCTTACACCAGCTCATTTTCTGATTGGTTCCTCATTACAAGCTCAGCCTGAACCAAACCTGGAGGATGTACCTATGAATCGTCTGAAACACTGGCAGTTGATGCAGCGGCTGCTGCAAGACTTCTGGAAACGATGGCGAAGGGAGTATTTGAGCCAGTTACAAGGAAGAATCAAGCACTGGAAGCCACCGGTTAAGGTCGAGGTAGGAAGACTGGTAGTAGTACGCGATGAAAATCTACCTCCAATGAAATGGAAGATGGGGCGGATTCAACAGCTTCATCCAGGTGACGATGGAGTAGTACGTGTAGTCACACTCAAAACGGCGACTGGAATGTTGAAACGTCCGGTGGAAAAGTTGTGTTTCTTGCCGGTTTCTGATACAACCACGAATCAGCAGTCGTCAGTTTAGATCAGCATCCTTTCCCTTCCTTTCCTTCCGAAGAGGATTTTGTTTCTTTTCAGAAATTAGGAGAATTTCAGGGTGGGTGAGGATGTTTACGAGTAGAATCATTCTCAACCCATCGAACTACAACCATGGCATCAGCTGTGAGCCCGCAATCGCAACAATAGGCTGCAGAAATATGTATATTTATCACCATTGTCCCACGCGCTCAGCAACAACAGCAGTTGACCAACAGAACCACCGAGAGGAGAAACTAAAGCAGGGTCTTGCTTCGGTGGTAATGACGTCACCCGTATGATACTGCAGTGGGAATAATAATGCGGAAGATAACGGTTGATAAGAGAGCGGGAGCAAACTCTCATTTGGACCCGAGAGAAGACATCGCATAGGTAGCGATCGCGGTCAGACGATGACCTTTTTTTATTATATACGGTAGAAACCTATCGACCACCGACCGTGTGTGGAGTCCGCGCGGGCAATTTTAATCTGTTTTTGTGTGTTAGAATTTAAGCCAATGTTTAGTTTTAAGGAATAAAAATCGTTGTTATTGTTAAAATAAATGTAGTGATGTAACTGTGGTTTCCGTAATTCGTCGCGTGTGTAATTTAAGTGAAGAAAAGGGCCTTGTATGCAACTATAGGATAGCTGCTACATTCTTTGCATCTCCATCCACCGGCGAGTGTTGGGGAGCTTTCCAACAACCCACATCGAAGACAGAGGTAATTTGGTTCCCCAACACTTCCCATAAATTACGTAAGTTTCAAACGGATAACGGCGTAGCTGAGGGAAATATCAAGAAATTTATCCTTGATGTTAAAACGCTTTAAAACTCCACCTTTTACATGATAGAGAGGTTTCTGGAGCTCCGTAAAACTGTGTCAGATATATTGATTGATGACACCAACGGTCCACCAATGCTTACGTCGGCAGAGCTGGAGCTTGTGCGGCAGTTGTTAAATCTTTTAAGACCTTTTGAATTCATGACACGATACATCAGTGGGGATAAATATGTGACAGTTTCTAAAGTTATTCCCATGGTAAACTGTCTTTCATCCAAAATTGAAAATTTCTCCTCTAACATTTCTGCTGTAAAAACCGTAAAAGACTGTCTTATGAAAGAACTACATAAAAGGTTTGGCCAAATTGAGCAAAATGTTGTGATGTTTGTAGCAACAATTTTGGATCCAAGATTTAAAAATCTACACTTCCAAAATTCTTCAGCCAAGTCCAAGGCTATTTCAAAGATCAGGGAAAGTTTCAACGATGGCTGTAGGAACGAAGATAACGATGATGCAACGGGTTCATTGGCTGAACAAAATGATGGGGAATTTGATTTCTGGGGACATCATAAGCAACTTGCTCAAAGCAATCAGTATCAGTCAACTGCAGGAGATGCGCTTGACGTTTATTTGGCGAATCCAGTAGGCGCTCTGGAAACCAATCCATTGATGCTGTGGGAGGATATGAAACAAGTTTTTCCACAACTGTACAAGCAAGCAAGACTTTAGATAGTACATATGGCCAGTTCCGTACCATGTGAGCGTCTGTTTTCAAAAGCAGATGCCACAGTGACCACTACGAGGAATCGTCTTTCACCAAAGCACTTGGAGAAAATCCTATTTCTAAGCAGTGTCGACGAAGCAGACTGGTTCAATTAAATGAAATGATCAGATGTACTTTCACGCCTCACGAAATAAAAATGTATTTCAATTAAATTGTGTTTTATTCTTTTTTACGTTTTTTTTTATTTTGCAAACATCATATGATATATTGAAATATTGATATTTTGTATTAGATATATCGGTAATATCGATACTTTGATTCGATAATCGTATCGAATCAAATATCGATATTTTGCTATATCGGAACGTCCCTTGTAGCAAAGCCTTGAAGCTAATGTTCTTGGCTGCGCAAAACTCCTCCGTCGTTCCCTACACGTCGTTCCCTTTCCGGAAATACCCATATTTTAGGGTATTTGACAGTTTTTCTCGAACCTATTGTTGCCTTCTTGGATTAAAAAATGGCGTCTACACGTCATCCCTTTTCCGAAAATACCCATATTGTAGCGTATTTCACAGTTTTTCTTGAACTGATGGCCGTCATCTTGGATTTCAAAATGGCGTCCGAAATCAATTTACAACCTCTTTACACGTCATTCCGTTTTGTGTCCTCACATTGCACAGCTACATCTTATATGGACAAGCTTTCCAGACATAACATATTAAGGAAGTTCATGTGCACGCTAGCGCCGCGTAGTGAGAAAGTTCTTTAATAATATGACCACCATCCGAAAAGACTTGGTCACCTGAACAACTTTGCTCAAGACAGCGACGTTCTATACGACCAGGTTCTCGAGATACAGTTTATATAGGAAGTTCACATGCACACTAGCGCTGCGTAGTAAGAGAGTTCTGAACTAATATGAGCACCATAGAGATTGCTGACGTTTATCGTACGCACACTACGTCACGTATACGTATACGCAAAATGTTTTCATCGGGAAAATTTTCCGCTATGAAGTTTTTTTTTCCCGATGAAAACAAATCACTGACACAATCATACTTTAGCAATCTCTATACAAAAAGACATGATCACCTAAACAACTTTGCTGAAGACAGAAACCTTCTATATGGTCAGGATTTTGAGATACAGCTTATATAGGAAGCTCATGTGCACACTAGCGCTTTGTAGTGATCGGCCAGGATCATGAAATATTCTATGTTGTACCTAAGATCCATATATTATAGCGCCCGTCATAAGTAACATAAAAGTGAAGCGCCTCTAGTGGCGTAGTTCCCAATTAAACCTGAATCCAATGACACAGGCTTGTTGGTCCACCCCATTACAACAACTTTGTCGAATACAGTATAGCTCTATATATTGAAACAAATGAGATAATCCACCACAGCCCCTATTAGTGAAAATACCATAAGCTGTGGGTATCCTTATTCGCGGTTCCTTATTCACGCCCCGTTACCCCGGCAATAAGTATTCCTGACTGTATTCGACGTTCAGCATCACCAACTATGAAAAAAAAGAAGTTAAATAATACCACTGAACTGTTAAAAAGTTCGTCCGGTTGAGGTTAACCACTAACGGGGCAAATCCTTATTGGCGAAGAAAAGTTGGCGCTACTTAGTGACGTAAGATAGAAATTTTTAAATGATGCTTTCAAAATTCTTTCGCGGTGAGGTATGGGAGAGAAGTTTGGAATCATATCAAAAAAGCTCGAAATCACTTCGAAAAGTACTGAATCACTTGAGAATCATTCGGAATCACTTTGAAAAGTAGTTAGTCACTTCATAAAAATTCGGGATCACTTCGGAAAGTACTGAATCATTTCAGGAATGTTTGGAATCACATTCCATTATAATCACTTCCGAAAGTACTAATTCACTTTGCAAGGAACAGAATCACTTTTGAAAAGTTTGAAATCATTGCTGAAAGTACTGAATCACTTCAGAAAAGCTCGAAAATTCTTCGGATAGTATTGAATGACTTATGAAAATTTTTGAATCGCTTTGGAAAATACTTAACCTTTCTAGAAATTTTTTAATCGCTTTCGTAAAGGGCCACTCACATTAGATCCGTTTGCGTTGCGTTGACGTTAATTTGACAGTTAGAAAATAGATTTAGCTGTAATTTTACCGCAACGCGTCCGATCCGGATCTAATGTGCGTGGGCCTTAAGAATTAAATAATTCCGGAAAGGACTGAATCACTTCACAAAACTTCGGAAAGTACTGTATCAATTCTTTCAAGTTTGATATCACTTGTTCAAGAACTGAATCACTTTGTAATAAGTGAATCACTTCAGAAATGTCAGAAAAATCCGAATCACTTTGGACAGCACAGAATCATTTAAAAAAAGTTACAAATCTCTGCTCAATATACTGAAACGCTTTAGAAAATCTTAGAATCAGTTCAGATAGTACCGACATAATTTAGCATGGGAATGTAATCTGTATTACACAGGGCCGGACGTGGTCTCTGGATCTCAGCAAGGGCATCATTTTAGTGCAATTTTATTAATAATGATGAATTTAAGCCCAGCATGAATTAGAAAGAAACAAAATTCAGCTTGAAATATGTTCATCGAAAATAGCCTCAACCAATTAAAAAATAGAAGTTTTGAAAGGTTGGGCAGGGTTTAACTAGACAATACACTATTTGAAACAACGTCATGTGGCGGACGCGTCGTTATTTTAGCCAGATTTATATTTTAAGGGCGCAAATCAATATTGGGTGCGACTATTTACTTAGATTAAATTTTAGGAACACAGCACTGGTACTTGACTAATGAAAAAAAGACAAGAAAGCTAAGGATAGGTAGTTTCGTCTAGTGATAGTGAAAGAACATGTTTTTTCATTGTCACATGACGGCCGTGATATATACCAGCTCTGATCCTACGAACATCAAGCTAACAAAACTCACCAGCTACAATTCAAATCAAACCGTGGTGAGATTGAGTTTCATGATTTTTGTTTCACAACCAAAGGCGATCCGTCATTGCTGGCAGCAGTAGCTTCGTGTCTGCCATCGGTGAAGAGTAAAGAGAGATAACAATCGATACTTTCTCTTTCTAAGAATCCGATGTGCAATGGAATCATTTTTGTGTTAAGGCAACTCTCAGCTTTATTTTTGCATGTGGTGAACAGTCTTACAAAGGAGCTTGTGAAATCAATCAGTCCGCATCGTGCTCTCTTGCTCTGCGGATCTATTTGCTTTTTGCTGAAGGAAGTGTTACTACTACCTAAAGCTACAAAAAATTTAAGCAACACTTTTCAGTGCTCAATCTGTAAAATTTCTACCTTGTTCAACTCTTATTCCTCTTCGATCCTTGTTTTGATCCTAAACGATGTGGAAAATTCCTCTTCAGATTATTATAGTAATCTGCTTGGAAGTCGATTTGGATAAAAATTTACTGCTGCCATGGCACCTAAACGCAAATGAAAGGGGCAAACTCTTGATCCCCCTTCTGATGAAATTAATTTGAATAATCAATT